TTAATACTATATTGCATAAACGAATACTACACACAACCTATAAATTTCAAAGGAAAAGATCAATTGAATTGGGAGCAGTACGAATCAAATATGAACGCACATACTCATCTCTATTTTTATAGACTTCTATAATTCCAAGAGATTATAATAATTTTGATTTCGTCAATCTCTCCAGCAATATAGCCTAACGCTTTTTAAGATTCCTGCGAATTTTCGATTCAGAAAACTATGAGCAAACCGTAATTCTAGGAGATAATTGTCTTCCGGTTTTTTCAAATTTGTTCAAAAGGTTAGTCTGATGCAGTTTTCTACTAGTGAAAGACTTTCTGTTAAATGGTTCATTCCTTTAAAGGGTCGATGAAAGGTGCGGACAAGAAATTTTTCCAGTTTCTACAAATTTGTTTCAAAAGGTTAGTCTGATACAGTTTTCTTCCAGTTAAAGTCTTTCTGTTAGATGGTTTATTCCTTCAAGGGTCGGCGAAACTTGCAGAATAAGAAATGTCGTCCTGCTTGACGAATAAGAAGCGGGCAGGTGTGAGAGCTTGTGACTCGTTTGCTTCATTGTGGACATAATGCAAAACTAACTCAGTTTCTGAAAGAATATTCATTATTTCCACAACATAAGAAAAGCCCTTCCAAGAACTTTTCTTAAATCCCATTCCACCACGGCGCGAGAGGACAAATTAAATATTACCAAATTATGCTTTTTTATTGATAAGAAATCTCTTAATTATGAATCTATTATAAATTTTGTAGAAGCTCTTCGTGTTATTGGAAATGATAACTTTATATTTTATCTCCTAACCAAAAATCTCAATGACAAAATAGAACTTTTTGTTGACATATTTGTGTTTAATTTAGTGTGCAGAGCTCTAGTCAAGCTGCATGTAGGCAATGCTATATAAACTTTTTCGAGTTGTATTTTCCTGATTTAATTAAAACTAGGCCAATAGAATCGATACCGCTTAAAGTAAAAGGAGAGGTTTTCGTTAATTGTATTTTTGGGTGATTAGGTAGTTACTTGTTCATCTGGTGTCAAAAAATATATTTTTGACAAATTAAGCATTTCCATAACACGTTTTTTACAATTTGTCTACCTTGTTGGATCCAAAACCTAGACCTAATTTTGGAGAGCATGAATGTCACTCCATCATGAGAAGTTTCATTATGCTATCTAATAATAATTAACTCAGAAAATTTAGACTGCTTAAGAAGAAGCACAGTATGAACTCCTCCTTTTTAAATGTTCTTCCTTCTAATCTTCCTTTTATGCGCATCACTACTGTCGAGTAATGGGGCTATATTCAAAAGTGGAGATTCTTTAGGAATCGACTTACTATTTTTGATGTTCTATAGTTTTAAATTAAATCCAATGCTTTGCTCACGTTTTATACAGATGCCTATATTTTATTTACCACTCTGAAGTTCTGCTGTAAAAAAGACCTGCAATCGTTTGCTGTTTCTGAAGTTTTCAACAAACCGTTTAACTAGTGCATTTAGCTTAGTACTTTAAAACAAAAAAAAAAAAAAAAAAAAAAAAAAAAAAAAAACATTTATATTTCCTTAAATCTAAAATAAATTTAGAATTTTTTACCACACATTTATGTTGCATTGTTATTTCAAATTCCATTTTTAGTTCAATGTTAAATTTTCTGTTAAAACTCCTTTGGACAAGATGTTTGCAGGATTATCTTTTGCGGGGTAATGAGCCCAATTATTGTATCTTTATCAGAAGACTGAATTTCTTTTATTCTTTTTTCTACGAAAGTTTTATATCTACTAGATTGTCCTTTAATCCGAGACAAAGTAATCCTCTAATCTGTCCAAAAATAACTAGACGTATTAAATTTAGGACATCTACCTATTTGATGGGCTAATCTTGCGGATAATAAAGATCCTATTAATTCGAAGTTTCGTGACGCAAGATTTTTTAGAGGAGCTACACGACTTTTAGAACAAAGAAAACTGATACTTATACTCCCATCTTCTGATGTAGCTCTCAAATACAGCACTGTTCCATAGGCTACAGGTGATGAATATGAAAAGGAATGAATTTCAAATTAAGTAAATTTACAACTCAAATTTGAAAAAGTACATCTAGAAATAAGGGGATCTAAATGTGTAACTTCACTGCACCACAATTGCCTCACTTGTGAACCAGTGAGGATGGAAGTGTCTCGTCCCAGTCCAGATCATGACTCTGCGGTGGGCCACACAGAGATAAATAAATCGGGGTGCGGTCCCTGCAATTCACGACTCCCAGCCTTTACAATGTGTCACACGACATGTTTTTGACATCGCTGAGACACAAGGATAAGTGTCAGGAGATTTTAACGTTCTGCAACGTGTCTGTCGTCAAAGCCTCTCGATTTCAGGAGGGCTGACGAACCAATGATCGGATTTTTCCTCTGATATCGTTGCATGTATAACGAATCAGAGGATGTAAAATGCTTCTGTAAAATTTAGGAGGCGTGGTTAATTCAGTCTAAAGCTTTTCGCCGTCGGAGTAACAGGAAGAGAACGCTCCTGAACTCTCGGCTAGAGAAATCTACAATACTCTGAAGCTCTCAACTAGAGAGACCTTCATTAGGAGACTCCTCACAGTACGAGGACTATAATGCATTTAAATACTTATCTATGCTATCTATTAATTATATATGTATGTGTAAAGAGTTTCTAGTAAGATAAAAAATTTATTTGTGAGTTTAAAATTCAGTAGGAGTACGCAACGTCGCAAACTTACCCAATCATTACAAGAAGTCAGATACGTTACCTGCAGCCACTCAACACAGGGGAACCTGACAGTCCCTCCCACAGCAATGACCCCTCCCCCCAATTCTATAATACTTATAATGAAAGGTCCTAAAAACCTTTCATTATAATGAAAGGTCCAACATTATAATGTTCCTTATAACCAACATTATAATGAAAGGTCCTAGAAACCCGATAGGATCATAAATATGATCCACTATTCGACGAATAAATCTTTCAGAAGCAGTTCCATTCTTGACAAACTATTGAATTAAAATGTTGAAAGGAATATTGGCTGCATTTGGGTCACAAAACAGAACCAACACGTTGGATCATGAGTCAATATCCGTACACGAGCTCCTTTCCTCATCGACGTCGAACTCAGCATCTTTCCACAGCTTTCAATTGGCATGGAATTGGTTTTCCATTTTCGTAATATCATTGTTACGAAATGTATATCGTAACGCCACCGCTAATAACTAGGTGCGCTCTCGAGCGGTGTGGATGTATCAATACGCAACACAATTGTTAAGGTTTTTATCGGAGATACTCTAGATCTGGAACATAACAGTGTTGTTTGCCACTGTCCTTGGCTATTTTTTTAGCTCGAGCAGATGCACAGATCGTATTGATACATCCACACCGCTCGATGGCGCACCTAAATATTAGGGGTGGCGCTACGATATACATTACGTAACACAGTAATGTATATCGTAGATACATCATTAATAACTCGTTGCGCCTTAGATATACATTACGTAACAATCATGTTACTTCTTTTAAAAATTCCCACACTTCAGTCGTGATCTTCAAATCAGCTTGCAAGTCTTTTTCGCCTCCAATTAAATAATCTGCACAAAGCCATTCTGAAAATAACTTACAAGCATCGGGAAATCCCACTTTTTTTTTCCACTAATATTTTATCAAAATGATATTCCAAAGTTGCAGCTAATAAATGTGGACTTGGTTTTAGTCCAAATGAAACTCTACTAAAGTTCATTTCTTGATATGAATTAGAACCTATATCATCAGCCCAGAAGCATATGGTAAAATTTCTATGTAGATTATGATAATCTAAAGTAAGACTACAGGGGAAATCTATTTAACATTGAGTAAATGGCTACTTCGCTAAATTGGTGTTGGTTTTGGCGACATTTAGGTCCGCTCTATAACTGTAATCGGTACTGTAACTGAATAACTGTAATAGATCATTTTATGTAACTGTAACCGTATCCAGCCTCATATGCCTTCCAATAATTTCGAGAAGTGGAAAGTACTAGAGATTTCACGGCAGCTGGGGGAAAACTATATAAAACCGTGGAGAATATTTATATACCATTTTCTAAGTTGTTCAGTTCAGGGTTGAGTGCGGAGTACTGAGAGACTCTGAGCGCATCATCTTATTTTATTTCACTTTTCGTCTATCAGTTAAAAATTAAAACACATATGAGGTTTACGTAGTACATTATTTCTCATCTTGAATCTCTCCTAAATTTCTACTGCTTAGTCTGCTGCTTCACAAAATGAAGTAAGTTTAGATAAAATGCTGTTTAGAAAAAAACCGAGAATTTAAATTCAAAGAGAGAGAGAGTGGCACTTAGGCCCTGAACCTGGTAATCCCTGTTCCTTCTTGCTTGTATGTTGGCCGTTGTTGAATTAATTTTTCACTTGCAGTTACACGAGAAAGCGTGTTGGCCCAGAAGCTGGGTACTCAGTCTTTAACAGTTTGAAACGTAATCATCGAGTTATTTCTGTGTTATCAAGCCGCAAGTGGCAGAAGTGGGTCGTCTTTAATTTTGAAACGTTTCGTTATTTCTGTGTTATCAAGCCGCAAGTCAGAAGTCTTTCGTTATTCTCTTTAATCCTAAACTTCAAGTTGAAGCAACAATGAATATTTTAGTTTTATCATTGTCAGTTTGTGTTGTAGTATACTCTTAAAATGGAAGGATAAGCCTTTCGTCAGTCTATTAAGGTAACTATTCTTTTGGTTCCAGTGAAATTAGAATGTAAATCTGTAAATTTAAGTACATTAAAAGTATAAAAATAATGATGTGTCATTTTAAGATATGCACGCTAAACTCATTATAAGCCTATTTCATATCTAAAATACCTGAAAACATTACACCGAATGTTTATAAATGATGCATTAAATAGCAGTTGTGAATTAGAGTATAATGAAATTTTAAAGTTCTGAGTGCAATTTTGCACTGAATCATATTGTGTACGATATATAGCTATACAAAAAAGCATTCAGATAGTATGACTTTATTCAATAAAAACAATTAGTTTTGACCTTACGTACTTTAATAGCAACAGCATTAGTTACAAAAAGAATGTCACGACGGAAATGGACGCAGGATTTGGTAAACGGGCGAGTAAAGCCATTTCAAATAAACATTGTACAAATTCTCAGTTTTGGGCAATTAAAAGCTATAAAAATTGTCCTCAAAGCCAGGAAAAGAAAAACAGGGATGAATTTGCTTGTTTGAGGAAGCAGACTTCAAAGGATAGATTACAGCTTGGAAATACGACGAATCTTCAATGCACAATTGGCCCGGGCATTAGCTATCCTGTAAAATAAATTTAAGATGTATTATTATTATGATAAATTGTTATCCAATTAAAAATAATAAAATGCAATATTTTAATCATGTATTGAAAGCCATTGTTACCATTTCTAACAAAAGGCCATAGTAGCACAAAAATATTAACAAATTTGATGATTTTATTATTGTCTAGGTAGTGAAATTTAGATGTTATTCTGTGAAAAACCTTATTCATCATTAATGTATAATTTAATCCTTAAATCTCCTATTTTTAGTGTTTAAATATTTATCAAAAGCAATAAAATAATTGAAATAATGTAATGTCTTATTTTCCCCTCTTCTTATTTTGCACTGCATGAAGAAAATTTATTGCTGCTTACAGTGGCTCACTTGTTTTCGGATACTCGTATTTTTGAAATTTATTTGCATATGTCTCGTATTAAATATTGAAATATAGACTTCAAATATTTTTCTAATATATGATTTTTTCCTCTCTTTAAGTTTTGTTTGTTACAAAATATACATCATCAAAATATGTTTTGTAATAAAAATAATTATTCAAAAAGTATTAATCAGTAGCTCACACAATAATTTGGACACTCGAAAGATTTGATGACATATTTTGGCAAATCATGTTTCTTGCCATAAATATTTGTGTTAAAGGAAATAAATCACAAGACTTTTCTTTTGCATTTGAAAATTATTACTTGTTTAAGCAAATATACATATTAACAGTTTCGTATCGGAAGTGGATATGGCAAGATGCTACAAATCAACGACTAATTCTGTTATTTAATTTTAAATTTAATTATTCATCATTTGAAGATGGTAAAAATATTCTACATATTCCTAACGAACTTCTTAATGTAAAGCTTTCAACTATCTTTGATGACATAAAACGACGATATTTGCGCGTTGCAGTACACGCAACACGCAACCTGCGTATGTTGAAAATACACTGAAATCTGAATCCTATTCCACTCTAACGCTAAAAATCGAAGTTTTATCTTGCAAAAAATTAAATAAAACACAAAAATTAGTGTTTTAAAACTTACAGCGTATTTAGAAGAACGGTTTGCAATAAACTAAAACTATTACGAAAGTCATTATGCATATGGATACAATGGGTGATCAGCAAGAAGGAAATTCTTCGTCATCAAGAAAACAAGGAAAACACGCCTGACATTCGCAGAATCCACGTTAATTAAAGATTTATCACATTGGAACAATGCTATATTTGCAGACGAATAAAAGTTTACAATTGGCCTGATGGACGAATTTCCGTATGGGAAAAACTAAATGAAGAACTCAATTCGAAAACCCTTTTGTCTACTGTTAAACACAAAGATGAAAACCTAATGGTTTGGCGATGCTTTCCTGCCCGTAGAGTTGGAAATTTAGTTTTTATAGAAAATAATATGGGTCAGTATAAATATATTAAATATATAAATATTCTTAATGAAAACCTAAAAACGTTTGCAAGTAAACTTAGAATGTAAAATACACCCAAATTCCACTACGATAACGATTCTAAACATAAAGACCTAAATGTCTGCTTGTCGTTATTATACAGCTTCTCTAAAGTTATGAAAATTCTATCGAACATGTATGAAGTGAGTTGGAGAAAAGAATTAAGAAACATGTTAGTTCCTCGAAAGTTTTACTAAGAGAAATTGTTATGGAATAATAGAATAAGAGGGAACATTTTTACACACAAAAATATTAGTTGAATATATGCCCAAACGCATGAAAAATGTAATCTGTCTAGCTAAAGGATATCCATCGAAGTATTAAATGCCTCTTATTTTCAAGTTTTTTTATTAAATATAGACTGTTTGTTCAGAGTGTGCAAATACTTATATGAGTTCATTTTTAGAAAGATTTTAAATATTTTTTTGACCAAAAACGTTTTGAATAACTCTTTTCGAATCAAGTAATTTTAAAAAAAGGTAACCAATAGTACATGTGAAAGGAAAATAAAGTCATTTTGCTAATATTTAGTAAATGTTAATATTCAGTGATGTTAATATTTAGTAATATTTGCATAGAAAGCTGAAAAACACAAATGTCTGAGAGCAGTATGAGCCACTCTAAGGAGTTGAATTTACAACAGAATAATTAAAATATGCTACTTTCAATTAAATAATCGCATTTGACTGAAACATTTAATGAGACTAAGGTATCGTTGATGCAGTTACTCAGGAGCTAGTAGAAAAGGAAGAGAATAATGAAAATAAAGTTGAATTTTCCTTGATTTTTGTTTGATTTAAAAGTAATCGAGCGATCAATGAAGTGAAATTTAATTGCAATTAAAATAAAACAAATCAGAAGAAATTAATTATGATTGCAAATTTAGTCTTCGTCCTCTACCAAGGGCGCGTAAAAAGTAATTAAATTAAAAAAATAAAAAAACTCGATTAAAGTCGATACCAGTGGACCTGAAAAATACAACTGAAGAATAAAAAATCATAAAAACAATTGATAAAGAAACATTAAATAAACTCATGACGCCAAGCAATGATGCAAATCGAAAAAACAATAGAGAAAAGTGAAAAATAATTAATCTAGTAGAGAAGTTAAAACGTTGTACAATGAATAATTTGTTTTGAAATTTTCTCTGAATTTCAGAAAATTCTTCATTAATGCACAATGAATCAAATTTTTAAAGCATTCTAAACCCAGTCTTCCGTAATTTTTGAAAAAAATAAGTAAAAATACAAGCTATTTTATAATTATATAAGGGACTAATTAATATAAAATTTAGTGTTAAAGCTATCCAGTTCTTCGTTAGTTTGCATGTCTAAGCTAGATAAATCTTAGTGTATAAAAATATTCGCATACTTTATTCTAATTTCTTAGCTATGAAGTTGTTTACTACAAATATTAGAGAGACGATTTTTAACAGTTGTTTTGCTAATTTCAATCTTTTCATTTAGAACAACGTATATGGCTCTTAATATTAATTTTAAGTTGTGATACAGGGCACAGTTCTCATCTAATGTGATTAAATTATCTATATTCTCTATTATAATCAGTACGAAAATCCGCATGTACGAAGTTTCAAATTGATTCCAAATATATAAGTAGGTAAATTGAACCTATTATCTAGCAGGTAAATTGAGCCTAATATTTAGCAGGTGAATTGAACCTAGCAGTATAATATCGGCACATCATTCTGTTGGTAAATGCAGTATTTATTTATATAGCGCTGTAGATATTAGTATTTAAGAACAAAAAAAATGTAAAAAAAGTGTAAAAAAGGTAAGTAAGTTCTGAAACTGAAGTACAAACTTTGTTATTTTAGTTGCTTCTCTCTCGCTCTCTGTGTGTATATATACAGTGGATGGATAAAAATATGAAAACACCTTGTGAAATGCATGTTTGAAAAGAAAGATTGATTTTAATGAAATATGTACGTGGCGCTGGCGTTTTTGACTACTGACGCCACCTATAAAACTTCGTAAATGTGCTAAACAGTTTAGTTGTTGTCGGAGTACTGTTATGTGAGGTTGTCATTGCATTATGTCAGAGTTAACAGACTTCGAACGTGGGCAAATTGTTGGAGCACGTAGGTGCTAGCCGAGGTGTTTAGTGTTTTCAAGAGGTACTGTATCGAAGATTTATTCCGCATATTTGAAAAGCGGAAAAACAAAAACATCATCTGCTAAATCACAGCGCGGACGGAAGTGTGTCCTGGGTGATCGTGACAGACGATCATTAAGGGCAATTGTGACGAAAAATAAGAAGACCACAGCTGCAAAAGTTACTGCTGAAATGAATGTTGTGTTACCGGTACCAAAACAATTAGAAGGGAGCTTCATAAACAGGGAATTGCTGGCCGTGCTGCAATTGAGAAGCCACTCATCAGTGATGCTAATGCCCGTAACAGGAAAAGGTGGTGTTTAAGTCATAAAGCCTGGACTATAGAGCAGTGAAAGCGAGTAATATGGTCTGTCCAGTCTTCTTTCACATTGTTTCCCACTTCTGGCCGAGTTTACGTCTGGAGAACGCCATCTCAAGCATATAATACAGACTGCTTGTTGCCAAGAGTGAAACATGGCGGGGGTTCTGTTATGGTTTGGGCAGCCATATCGTGGTTCTCTGCTAGCCCCATGATAACTGTGTCAGGGCACATGACTGCCAAGACTTATGTGAACATTTTGGCCGATCAAGTTCATCCCATGGTACAAACTTTGTTCCCCGATGGTGATGGTGTCTTCCAAGACGACAAAGCTCACACAGCTCACATTGTCCAGGACTGGTTTTCTGAGCACGAGGATGAGTTGTCCCATCTCCCCTGGCCACAACAGTCACCAGACCTGAATATTATCGAACCTTTGTGGTCTACATTGGAACGGAAAGTGCGTTCTCGTTCTCCACCGCCAACATCGTTATCTGAACTTGCCACCGTTTTTCAGGAAGAATAGTATAATATTCCCTTGGCAAACATACAGGAACTGTATTTATCCATTCCGAGAAGACTGAAAGCTGTTTTGGATGCCAACGGGTTTCCTACACCATATTAAGCAAAGAAACAAGAAACATGCTTTTTTTAAAGGTGTTTCCATATTTTGTCCAACCCCTGTATACATATATACTCTTTCTTTTATTATATGTATATAGATAGAGCGAGAAATCAGTATTACTGGAAAATATGGGTAAAGGAATTAGGTGTTTAAATATAAAAAATTAATTAATTAATATTTACAAAAGAAAGTTTATAGAATCAAAAATTCTTCAGCTGTCTTCAGCTGCATAAAAGTGTTCCGAAGCAATAACAGTTTTGATGTTAGTAAAATCTAACTAATCGCAAAATTGAAAAACAAAATATTGAATGATGGAATATTTTGAGCATAGATTTTTCTTTTCCCTCTTTTCTATTCTATTGCTTGATGCAGATATATTCGTTATGTCATCATCTTAAATCTTCAGTTTGATTTCCTAAATTTATTTCAGCTGAATATACATAAAACTGTCTGGTAACGCTTAAGCTAAAGTAAACAGAAGTTTTCTGTTGTAGTTGCTATTATTTCATTGTTTGATAGTATTATTGCACACAGACTAATGTTAAAATAAGTGCATATTCACACTAAGAAGAGCAATTTGTATTTTTAATTCTCTGTCCGAACCTCCCTTTGCAAGGAATTAAAGATATTCATCCATATGTCCTTTTGTTATAGAGAACAGCGCATTCAGCTAACAAATGCAAGGTCTGCTTTTCGAAAAATCTGTGGTCTGGACATCGTTGATTTATCGAAACTTCCCGCTCCGAAAAATTTAATTATTCTAATATTAAAAAATTTATTGTCTTGATTTTATTTTCTTTATTTAAGGAAGGGATAAAATTTTATGTTATCCCTTCATGTTAAGTTTCTGCTATATTTGATACTGGTAAGATATGGATTATGAAAGAAATGTATTTATTCATTAAAAATGTTAAATATATTCTTGACTAACCTTACCTGAGCAAAAGTGTAATTAAACCACCTTCAAAATCTTTATCTTCCAATGTTTTACAGAAATTTAACAAATTTATAAAGTACGTTGTTACTAACTTAGTTTCGTATTTTTATTAATTTTTTACCAAATTAAGATTTAAATTTTCCATAAGTATTAACCACAGAAGCAATTATTATTTAATTCTCTCATATCTGAAAGACTGTCTGATCACAAGTCATAGAACTCTAGAATTTGATAAAATCGCATTTGAGAATAGTTATTCCAATATATCACACTTTTTTTATTTATGAAAAACATTTATGAAATAATTTCCAGTTTCTTTTAGATATAAATTAAATAACATTTCATTCATCAACTACATCAAGAATTATGAAGAAAAAATGGCATTCCTTGAACGAACAGTTATTGATAAGCCAATAAATGTGCATTAAACCACATTATATTGTACGTATTTTCTTTTTATCATATAATTTCATTCTTTTTATCATATAATATTAATAGCCTCATTATCACTAAAATGTCTATAATTGAAAAAAGTTATGTAACCATTTCACACCCTTAAAGATGCTTAAGAAATCTCAACTCTGTATTTCAGTTCTTTGACCCAAGGAGCTACTGAAATATATGTTGAAGCAAATTGCACCCATACAATTCTTCAGCTGCCCTCCGTTTGTTGACGTTTAGCTTACTTTTAATTTACTTACCTAATAATTAGCTTACTTTTTAAATTAATTTTAAAATAGATTATGTAAAGTTTTAAGATTTTGAGCGCAGGATATCCAATAATTTTTGTAATTTTATGTTATTTCTGTTACATCAATCATTACGTCATTCAGTTTTAACTTTTCATGTACAGAAAGAAGTCAGAAATATTTTCCTTACCTATTATTTCTCAAAAAACTTGTATGCGGTGATTTTCTCGATCGCAGACCAAGATCTGGCCTGTCGGGAAGACCGCTATGCCTTCCAAGCCTTTGAATTCGCCGTCTCCAGATCCCCAGGTCCCGAAAGCTTTCAGGAAAGTGCCATCGGGATGAAAAATCTAAAATGCAAGGTAAGGAAGATTATTACTCACAACAGCATGCGTTGCTTTAAAATTTGCACATCTAATAATGACAATAGTACTTCTCTCATCCTTAAATACATTAGTATAACAGTGCGCACGCAGTGAAAATGAACGAGCTTTCTGGTCGTTCCTAGTTCGCTTTGTAAACAACACAGCCGGACCCTAAAGGAAATAATGCTGCCAGTCAGTGGGCAGAATAGCGCTACTTCTTTATTATACAGCAGTGAAAATAAAATTATTCTTTTATATTTTTAAGAAGACTGTAAATAAGGGGGGAAATAGGAAAGAAAGGGAAGATACGATAAGTAGGCTCCAAATACACTTATCAGCTTGCATGGCACGGATTTCACATTCATTGCAGTTTTGAAGAATTTATTAATAAATAAATTACCAGATAATGACGCTATTTATTTTTTAGCTTATTAAAATGCTAATGGTATATTTCAAAGAATTCAAAACGCTTTCCTATGCAAAATGCAAGCTTTATTTTTGTTTTAACCATGCTCATTTCTTTACCATTTAGTCTTCACAAAAAAGACTGAAGTTTTTTTCTCTTTCTTTCTTTGTTTCCGAAAGCCATATTAAAACTTCTAAATCCATGACACGGAAATTATACAGCGTGTTTTTCTTTGAAGTATGTATTTACTTCACTTTCTTTATACACTAAATGGGTTTTCCAAAACTCAGATGTTTACTTTATAAGCAAATAGTTTCCTTTTAGAATGCGAAAATTGTATCACATATGTTATCGGACGCTAATGAGACCATAAGTGACCATAAATAAAACATGCAGTGCGTTTATTGCATTATTTTGCATCAAAGCAACTGACAAACATTTAGAAAAACGCCTCCTTTACTTTTTTAAAATAATGATTTCCTAGAATTCGCACTATTTCAATATGTGTTCTCAAGCTAGTTTCAGGAAAGCATAAGCGATTAGAAATTAGTAAATAGATTCTTAATGTAGCTCTAAAAAATCTATCAGAAGAGTTGCTGAAACGATTAATTCAACGTATTTGAAAAAAGGCCTACCAGCGGCTGAGCGCTAAAGTCGCTGGTCCGAGTTTCAAATCCCGCGAACGGGCTGGTTGCATGGGCGTTTTCGTGGTTTTTCCCATGCGTAACGTGTATACGAGCCAGTTTCCCTTAGAAAGTCCTCCACGAAGGCATCCCTCCTCTTAGGCAGATAGCCCTCGAGGCTTTGCCATAATCACACACACACATACACTATGTATTTAAAACTTTTTACGTAATAAAACTTATTATTATAGAATTCGAAGTGAAAAATGCCTTAGGAGATCATAAAAACTGCTCTAAGGAGCACAATAGCAGAAGCATAATAGCACATAATTTCAGAAAGTGAATTAGTTACAAAGCAAAACATAAAGGAAAACGAATCATGGTATAGGACTCATCCATTAAAACTGTTGTCCTGTCTTTACTGATGACTTAATGAAACAGAAACAAACATACAAATCATGTTTTAAAATAAAGTGTGAAATTATCAACACAAAAATGTAACCTGTAAAATAACTTCATTAAACGAAAATCTTAGTATATAACTGTTTTAAGGGTTAACGATAGGGGGAAAGTGTGCCAGAATTCTAATAGATTTTTATAATTTTCTGCCACTACTTATCATAAATTTCAGTGCTATGAAAGAAAATTTCGCCTTTATTACGGAAGTATTTTCTGATACTTTTTGATGTATCATTGTAAAGAACTATATTAACGTTTTTTCCTCGGATACTTTTATTATGAACATTGTTCATAAATAACTTTTTATATTTACATGCTAGTATGACTCACACAAAACGTTTATCAAATACAATGCTATATATTTTCTAAGGTTCTGTATTTGTACATTTTTGCAACCGTGTTAGAAAATCGAAAATGCAATGATAGAAAGAAACGTAATGAAGTTAAAAATAAATTCTCGATTCGAAAAGGAAATTTTACGTCTAGTTCAAGTTAACGAAGTAAATGAATAACTTTACAATAATCCCTGTTTACATAAAATATTTAACCAACTGAGAAGACTAAATTTTGGAATGAAAGTTACAGCTTTTATTTATTGTATTAAATATAAACTGTGTTTTTAATGAATATCATAGAAGAAAACCCAGATTTTATGTCGCAATATCACTGGTATCGTTTGGTTTTGATTTGGTGAAAAAACATATTCGAATCAATATAGCCGCGTTGTTATAAGGGTCTTAATTTATACACATCCCATTTCCTGAAAAATGTCTTTATTACACTTGTTTTGCTTATAATGCAAAACTTCCCTCCAGTTCTGATTTTTGTGTATCTAAATTAAACATTGGTGTAAAATCTTTGAATTTTTCAAGTTTATTCAGAATTGCTGTTCGGATAAAATAACATGGAGTCAGAGAAAGAAGGTCAGTTTCCTTACATACTGGTTCTGAAGAATAAAAAAATTTGTTTTCAATGCATTATTAGATGAAGACTTCACGAAACGCTATTTAACAAAAAGAGAATTTGTTTTCGATATGTCTAAGTACTGATCATTAAGAAAGTTTAAACGTATAAATGAATACTTTCAGTTTTCTGTTAGACGTTAATCCAGGTGTGATAGAATGTGTGTGTCTCTGTTCGTAGAGAATTTCTATGAACAGAGAAATATTCGGTACTCTTGTTATCGGGACTGGATTCAGGAAATGTATGTACATATGCATATGTGTATGTATATATGTGCGTATATGTATATGTGTATACACATACATACATATATACATCTTGCACCCCCCAAAAAAATTGGGGGGGGGACAGCTCTATATCTCCCATTCTATTGGGCCGATTGACGAAATTTAACTGAAGGACCAGTGTTCTTCATGTCTCGAAAACGTGACTTAGGATATATATTAGATTTATTTATAGCATTGTTCTAACATAGGTATTTTGGCACAAAAATCTGTCCTTTTTCTAAAATGGTATGCAATTTTGTTTTCCACATTTCGATTCTGCGACTCAAATTATGTCTAAATATTAAATTTTGTAAAATTTGGTGAGAAACCAAGAAATTTAAAAATTTATCTTGGCGCTCTTTTAACAGTTTGCGGCAAGAATAATTCACTTGGCGAAATTCTTAATTTATGGTAACCAATTTTCTTTTCCTCTTAATTGTGCACGAGCGGAATAAATGGTGCACCGTTCATTCTTTCGAATAATTTTAACAAAGAACGTAAATCTTATTTGGAGTTATTATCGATTATAACAAATATGCTAAATTTCAAAATGCTCCAATATCTAAATTCACGTATATCTTCGGAAACTTTAAATAAAAAATTCTAATTTTTTACAAATGCCTAGAAATACATTTACTATAAGATGATGGCAAAAATTTTATAGACTATAATTCGAAAAGTGTTTCGAAAAATGCTAAAAGATACAAATATTAAAAACAAATGAGAAAATAGCTGCAAATTTTATTTGGATTCAGCCCAAATTTCGATTTGTAAAAGAAGGAATCAAGTAAGTTTTTTATATATATAAAAAAGGTATTAATGAATATAATCAAATTCAATTAACATTGAGGAACTGAAATTTTGAGACCACGGTCCGCACGAAAATTTTCACGAAAGAACTTCGCGTGAAACCAGTCAAGGACGAGTTCTAGCGGTAGCCATAGCTGACTATTTCGAAGATATTTCACTAATAATGATAAGGTTGACACAAACAATAAAGTAATATTAATTAAAAACTTCTTTGCATTAAAAAAATAGTAATTTTTTAAGACACATTTCTTCTGTAATGCTCCCCCAAATCATCTTTAATAGTATTTCTAAATTCCGGCCAAATAAAGCAACTAATTGTGATCAAATAAATAATATAGAAATTAAAGTGCTGCTTATAAATATAACTGTTTACGTCTCCAAAATATGCAATAAATGCCTTAAAAAAACAACTGGAAAATTATTGTTATTATTTTGAAAAGAAATTTGAAAGACAGGCACAAGCCAAGCAGTTAGGCTCATAAGCTTCTTTCAAGCGTTCGAAAAGCATTGAAGAAGCTCATTCATCGCAGATAAATACATAAAAAGTGGCAAAAATCATTGCGCATACAAAAGGATCACCGGATTCAGTATCAAGTTCTGAATCTCACAGATCATATCAGTGAATTTTTCAGTAAGAAAGGAGCCATTCACAGTCATCGATAAAGTCTTCGACAAAATCTGGAACATAATTCGGCGATATTTTATAACAGTGACTGGTTTTACAGCTCTTATATCGAACTAGTGTGTTTTCAAAATTCAAAATTAATGGAATTTTCACATTTTGTTGATTACTTCTAGAACTGATGCTTTGCCATGGACATAAGTTGGTATAATACAAAAAATATAACATAAAAATGTATGGCACATATGCTTGATTTTACATAAGGCTCAGCGGCGCAGGATAGTCTAAAATAGAGCTAGCAGAGTTAAATTAAAAAGGAAACTAATAAGGAGTACGGTCCTGTCAAAGAGTTACTCAGCTCTCACAACGTGTTTTTACTAGAAATGAGATAGTTTATGAGTTCCTTTGGCAGTCAAACCCAGCAGCAATGTTGTTTTCAGGCTCTGAAGGATTCTTAGAGAGAGAAGGTAAGTTGCACTGCCCTTTTAAGAGCGTCTTAAGTATGTTCCATAGGATTTAGATCTGGAGATCTGGCTGGCCAATACATGCGATTCATATCACCCCTTTCCAGATGGACAAGAACTGGTACATTCAGCAAATTTTGACCATTGACCCTACCAGATCCAAATAACCACCAGATCAGAATTATATTAGCATGCATTGACGTCCATAGAAAGTAAATGAGGGCGATCTGCATTTCTGAAGAGGGAAACATAGGGCTTTGAGAGCTCTTCCTTCACTACGGAGCAGCCATTGAGTCTCTGCGAAAGACATGAAACTCTATACTCATTCAACATGATGTCTACATAGGCCATGAAACCTCTGCTGATATGCTGATCTCTTTTCCTGATATTGGAGGAAAGGCAGTGAATCCTTGGTTCTGTCCAGACAGTACCTTTGTCTTAGTGGTTAGTGATTAGACTAAGTCAGGACTCATCAGTGGAAAGAAACGGTTCTTCAGTGATGCTTGGTCAAACGCCGATGTTCTGGGCACCATGTTGAATGGGCTGTTTTAGGCGCAGACGTGAATGGGACACTTGTTTTTTATAATCGACGGTGGCTCTTGATAAAGCTAATCTGGTGGATGATTTTTTTGGAACGTGAGGATAGTACTGACCAACCAAATCTTCAGACCTAAATTCTAAGAAAGATGTCTGGAAGCATACAAAATTTGAATATGCACATAATATTTGAATATTTTCCTTGTTGCAAGAGTTGAACCGTCTGCCACCGGGACTCATAAACTATTTCATTTCCCGTATGAAGTGACATTGTGAGATTATTGGTGTGTGAAGGAACTATATCCTATATCAGCCTCTTTCTTTTCTATATCTTGCAATTTCTACTTTAGATCTTCTTGCGTACGATCCTCATACCATCACTGCTGTAAACTGTAATTTTTCTATTATAGCAATTCAAGTATTTATGAAATTTCCTTAAAATATGTTCATCAGTTCTGGAGAGAATCCAATAAATATGAAAACTCTCTGAATTTTCAGTTGTATATTATACAGCTGACAAATTACTCGATTTCTTCAAAGACAAGTATCAATATAGTAACAGAAATTTTTAAAAAATATATATCACAGTAATTAAAAATTATTAATTGAAAGTTTTACAAATTAACAGTTATAAAACTTTCAGCTCTTGTCATTAAGTCCAGAATTTAACAATATACAAAAAGCGTTGCTCTGTAAATTTTCTCGTATCACAGATCTCGTATCTTATGTTCTTAAGGATTTTCGAATATCAGGCAATGTCTGGAATCATTATAACTAATTATAACTAGAAAATAGTGTTAATTAGGAAAAAAGATTATTTTACCTGTATTCGATTGTTTCCGCTGTCTCCGACGATCAGGTAACCTTGATCGTCTACTGCGACACCCCTGGGATATTTGAACTGCCCCTCCTCGGATCCTTCTGTCCCGAATGTGGAAAGAAGTCGGCCGTTTACGTCAAATATCTGGATACGGTGATTATTGCTGTCGCTCACGATAACTCTGTTGGTGGTGCTCACAGCTACGTAATGTGGGTGCTCTAATTCACCGGGACGTTGGCCAATGCCACCAAATTTCGTGACGTAAGTACCATCGCCTTGGAAAACCTGCAATATAGATAGATTTCCTTATTAATAAACATTATATGGCACAAACATTATAGATCTCAGCGAAATTACATGTAGAGGGGCTGTAGACAAAAAAAAAAGGAAACTATGTATATTAACCGCAAGAAAATTTACTGAAATAAAAGAAAAATAATGAGTTTTGTTTTCAAGAAATCTTTCATTGTCAATCCAGATAAGCAACAACATTTGTAAATATCACTGACATATGACGCCAGAGATAAATTTCACAGACTTCCAGCATGAAAGTGCAAGCGAGACACCAGTTTCTCTAAATAATAAATAAGTGGTGAGCTTGCGGGCGATAAAAGATGGTGGACAGTGGGATTCCTTTCTTATGATAATACTCTGATTGGTCAGACACAGATATCTTGACTGTTTGTATGATATATTATCAGACTTTGACAACAAACCTGCAGCATAGCCTACCAGGGCCGGATTTACGTATAAGCTACACAATCTATACTTAGGGCCTCCACTTTCTTGGAAGCCCCTCCAAAATTAAAATATAGTATAAATAGTATTAAAATATATTATAACAGACTTATAAATGGCCCCATATCTCAAATAGCTTAGGGCCTTGTCAAGTCTAAATCTGGCTTTGTAGCCTACCCATATATTTGGTAACATGATAGCTCATCTACCCCTCACAAATACAAAAATTCTTATGTGCTTGATTTCTTTGGGAAAAAAATTCAGATATACAGAAATCCCATGTAATTGTCATCATTTTATCCAGATTTGAATATTATCGATTTCTTCACTTCGAATAATTTAGAGGAACAAATCGAAGGGACTGAGCCAGCAAACATGAAAATTTAAAAGTTCGTACAGTCGTAATATCTGTAATACAACTTCGTGGCCACGAAATTCGCTTCTAAAGTTCAGATACTAACTTCATAATTTTTAACAAGACCTATGGTATGCTTATAAACGAGTTCAGACTTTTCTTCTCCTTAATATAAAAGGTAATTTATTAGCACTTTTCATTTACCTTAACTTACTCCATTTGTATAAATGTTATGCGTTAGATGTTAGATAATACTAAAGAAAGAAAATACTATATTATTAAAAATTTTCATTTTTGAGTTTGGTATTCTAACTTCAATTCTCTGTTAGAGGCAAAATTCTTCTCTTTGCCGTTAAAAGAGCTGCAAATATCCTGAACCGAGATTGCATAGTTTCTTTCCTGTAAAACAAGCTTCTTCTAAAGCTCTAACGTACTTCAGTTTAAAAGCAATGAATACGAAGAGCAAAACCTGCCTATTCCCTGCACAGACGCCAGGCCACATGGTACAAAAGCATTGGAAAATGTGTATTGGGTGAGCCAGGAAGAGATAACTACACGTCTAGGAATTTAATAAATATTCTCATTATGAGAGGTAGAGCCACGCTCGAGTCGGAATTATCTAGCAAATTCTTAAAGTTGAAGATTTAATAGATTTTATGTTAAGAAAAATTCATAGCCGGATGAAGCAATTATTTTGCTGAGGTTACTGGCCTAAATCCAAGATTTTTTCGAGCTCCTCCCAACGACTTTAGAAAGTCTATTTGAATTCCTTCGTGGAGGACTTTCAAAGGAAAGCTGACTTTTGAGGTGCATATTAAAAACAATGCATATAATTTTCATTCAGTTTTATATTTATACATATTCCTTATGCAAAACAAATCTGGTGTATGCTAAATTAGAAAAATATAACTAATGTACAGAAATTAAAAATTTGCTCGTGCCGAAAATGAAAAATATTAAATATATATGAGTATTTATACATTATCCTCGTAAAAAGCATGCACTTGCCTTTAACTAAATACTTAAATATTTATTATATTATTTGTAAATGTATTTGGAATGAAGGATTTATTCATTCATAAACTCCTTTGAATGTTACTGTGAAGAAATCTAATTATGAAGAATATATAAATTTATAATGACTATAAATATTATCTAATTATATAATGCTCTAGTATTTAATTGTAAACTTAAATTGAAATTCTGTAGACAAATATATTTAAAAACTATTTAAGCAAGAATTGTTCGCACTGGAAAACAATCTATTAAAAGGTGTTGCAAAGCAGAGCTTATGATATGCGTACTTAAGGAAGTAGTAAAGTAGAATTTTAAAATGTGTATCGTCGAAATCAAAGGTAAACAAATTTTGGATAAGAGTTAAGAGAATTATTTCCTTACATTTTATAATAATTCAGTTAAAAGTTTTAAATAATTTTAACTACCTCCCCCTTCTTTTTTTAAATCCTTTCGGAAGTACTCATAAAAAGTTAAACAAATAGAAGTCAGAAATCAGCAGCAATATTTAACATATTTCACTATTAAAATAAATGGTGCTACCAAACAGAGCTTTAATTATATATAGAATGATTACGATTTTTGATTTAAAAGATGCCTCAGAAGCTGAAACTCATCTACGGATTATTAGAGTACTTCAGAAAGAAATTCCGTGAATAGAAAAGAAACAATGCAAGATCTTAAAATTGTCTTTGAAATGTAATAAACTTTGGTTTTAATTTTTTTAATTGTCAATCGAATAATATCGAATTACTTTAAAATTTCGTTCTCATGCAATTAGCGAAAAGTTGTAAAAACATTTCATTCAAATTAAAACTGTTCTGGGAAAAGAATAGCATTTAATTTCGTTCAGAAGGAAATAATGCTTAAAAATGTATTCCTTCAGATAACTTAGCACAATAGTAATGCCGGAATTGCAAAATGTTTACCTCCGATTTTGTCAAAACCTATTGATGCCTTAACGGCAAGTCACTGAATGTTTTGGTCACCGCAAAGGCTGCGTCACTGTTTCAAAGCAGTGTGTAGACAAAACCAGTTCGGGCCTCTTCTCTGTTTCCTATCCCATGTCTGAAATTGACCAGGGTTTCTTCGAAAACGAAAAAATTAAGCGTCATTTACTTTAGGCAATTATATTAAGGGAAATGCAAAAACTACTTGGACCAGCATGTAGTCATTTCCGAAAAGTTTCAGTACATAGTTACTGAATACAAAGTAGATAGGAGAATGTGACAAAATTTAAAATGCCACTATTTTTTTCGATTGTTACTTTGATGCATGAATTATTTTTTTAATTAATTTCCATAAACAATTTGATATTTAATTATTATTTGATATCCTTTAATTTTAAATAGAAAAGTTTTGCATTTTAAGATGAATATGAGTTCATGGGGTCCCTCTGGAACACAAGGCCCTTCAAAGCTCGAGAGCCTGGCGGCCTTCAGGTCCGCTAGCCGCTTAACTCACCTGTTACCTACTGTAAATAAAAACAGTACTGCTGTGGTGATGGCGATAAGGAGCGCGCCTTGCGCCCTCCGATAAGTGTGGCAACCCTAGAGGAGAGCTTTCTTACGAGTAGCGAGCAGAGCGAAACAGGCAGGCTGTCGGGGAGTATGCGCGATGTTCCTAAATAAAGTTTAATTTTTATTGTGCACTATGTCTTGTTAATATTTATATTAATGCAGTAAGAACATAATCTGTAATATGGAATTTGAGGATTGGTGGTAAAAACATAACAGGAAATTTCCATAATGGTAACCCGGACTGTGTTAAATCGTATGAACAGTTCTCAAGCACTTTCGGTTTTGACTACAAGCCATCACTCAAGATCTCCAAACCAGAAGTAATGGATTACATCGGTTTTCGTCCTCCGGATCACAGATGAGTAGTAATTATAGATCATTTTATAATTCTGTTTACTACTTATCATTTAATTTCATTTTCTTTAGTTAAATTTTTGCTTTTATTTTGGCTTAAAAACCTTGCACAAATGTCTGATGTTCATGCCGTCCAAATTCCGGTTTATAACCGATCAGACCTATCTTTATGGTTTATTATGTGTGAAAGTACTTTTGCTCTTGCCACCCCCAAACCTATCACAGAATCCATTACTAAATATAATTATGTAGTTTCTCATCTTCCTCCAGATATCGCATCACTAGTACGGGATTTACTTATGAAACCAGACCCTATTGTTCCATATGCAAAGCTTAAAACTGAGTTAATAAATCGTTCAGGAGAATCTTCTCAGCAAGAAATTCGCCAATTATTATCTGGAGAAGAATTAGGTTCTCGAAAACCTTCCGATTTGCTTAGAAATATGAAACGTCGAGCAGAATCTTTAAATGTTCCTGATAACTTAATGTTAGAATTATTCCTTCAACGTTTGCCTTCGACTGTTCAGTCTATTTTGGCAGCGGTTTCCAATTTAACTGTAGATAAAGCTGCAGAAATTGCCGACAGAATTTTAGAAGTAAATCCAACCCCAGGGACTTGTGCCGTTTCTCGCACAGTCGATCAGTCTCTTGAGGATAAATTATTTAAACAAATAGAAAAATTAAACAAACGTATTGATCGCATTTCTCTTTCTCGTGGTCGCTCGCCAAATCGCGGAGATCGCAATAAGGAAAGAAGCAATTCCAAAAGGAGAGATTATTCTGTTTGCTGGTATCATAGTCGTTTTGGGGAAAAAGTGTAGAGATGACAAATGTACAAAACCTTGTTCATGGCAGGGAAACGAAACCAGCAAAGAAATAGAGGCGACTTATTCTTTGCCTCAAGTTTCACGTCGCCTGTTCGTTCGTGACCGTAGAACAAACCTTTCATTCTTGGTCGATACCGGCTCTGACGTGTCCTTACTTCCAGCAAATAATTCTCAAAAATGGAATTCGTCCCAACAAACACTTTTTCGCTGCTAATTCTTCCAATTATTCATGTTTATGGTCAAAAAACACTTTCTTTGGAATTTCAAATTAAGACGACAGTTTACATGGACTTTTCTTATAGCAAATGTTAGTACACCCATTCTTGGAGCAGATTTTCTCCATTTCTTTTGAATTGGTGCCCTGATCTTCAGAAACAAATGTCTCAAAGATTTAAAAACGCAGTTTTTAAAACCGTCGGTTGCGTGAAAAATGCAAGGCATTTATTCAGTAAAAACTGTATTTTAGGTGATACACCA